TCAGTGTATGTACGCATAGAGAACCATAAGAGTCACACTGAATAGTTTGGGCAAGGCATATTCTTATAAAACAATGCTTTTCTTAATCGATCCTAATTAGAACTGGAAATTATATTCGAAACATTCGAATCAGCGACATGTTATACATGTAAGAGCATTTTTATAGAGTCATTTAACAAACCCACCCAAAATAATCTTGGGAACACAACAATAGTCGAATTCTTCAGAGATGATAGGTACAAGTGAGTTTCAAATTCGTGATTTTCTGCCCTTTTTAATATATCGATCTTACAATCTGGAATTACTAGCCGACAATTCAAGGTATTTATAGCTTTTGTTTCCTTATTGTTCATGTGTGATCTCGACTTGTCAATTTCGGACAAACGGCTTGATTGAATTTTAAAACGTTAATAAAAGACAAGAAATTACCAATTTACAATCTTGCTGTTGTGTTTGCTTCTTAAGAAACAGTGAAAACACGCTTTGAAGTCCTTTGAAAGTTTGGAACTGCATTATTACATATCCTCTTGAGGATAATTTTGAAGCGTTAGGTCGACCGATTCGGAGACCGATCGGGGGCAAATAAATAATGCTCGTTGTTTGTTTTCAGCTCAATGAATAAATTGATTCACAATCAATGCACATGTAAGCTTGTTGTTAAAACTATGGCTGCATACGTGTATGCAAACGAACAATGCGTCTGTGTTTTATGTTTTAGTAGGTTATTCTGTAGTCCCTGATATTCACCTCTGAAAATTATACTAAAACAATTTTTCACCTCAGGCTCAGTGAACGTTCACTAAGCCCTCATCGAATAATTGTTAATTAACTCCGACCCCAACCTCATTGGTTAGATTCGCCATACCCGGTACAACGTAACACAACGGGTTATCATGTGAGATGTCGTGTGAGAAACAGTGAATCACATTACGTCTGGCCGCAATGTCTGATTCCCATTCATCTCGCTATAACATTTGCATAATTATACACAAAATCTTCTCCGGCAGTTCATCTAACTGTTTCTTTTATTGTCACGAAAGAGCTCTACTGCTAACGAGTAGACTGATAAACCGAGACATACTTGGGCAAACCAAGCCACTGACATACGAACAGATACACAAGCCCTTTCTTGTCAAGGATCAGTTCATATTGCTTATCAATCTGTACCGGCCAAAACAAACGACGTAAGATGTGGATTGTTTTGGAAACTGTACAGTGAATGTAAGATAATTTACGACAGCAAAATCAGTGAAATTCTTTGTCCTGCACGTAATATTTCGACTTTGGACTACTGATTGACGACAAATCGAGATCGCTCGTAAGGGGTACCATTAACCTTCACTACACAAACTCTTGTTTCGTTCGATTAAACACGTCAATCTTTGCTTACCTGAGGTCGATAGAGTTTGTATCAGGAAGAGAACGATTAGAGTGGACGATAAGACCAATGTTTCTTTAGTATACATCCTCTGTTCTGTAGTTATCAGTTCTGTGATCAACCTTCACGGAAACTACGAAATGGAACTAGAATTAAAAGCCAATTTGTAAGTAAGAAACGCGGAAGTCTGAACGGTCCTGAACGTGCAGCAATTTGAGATCGATTTCTTATTGTTTCCTATTCACACAAAACACTTGTGTAGCCTTTGTGTGACAGCTATCAATCATTGATTGCCAAATATGCATGTTCTGTATCCATTTTCGGTAATTTAAAATAATATATAGATTTAGCCAAGCCTAAAAGCGGAGTTCTGGGCCGCTTTGTTCAAAACCCGATTAAGCTAACCCAGGATAAGCGAGAATTTTGATTTGAGTTTGTAACTTTGCGGTGAGATTTTCTGTTTATATTTTTGGCTTTCTGCTTAATTTGATTTTGAATAATCTCAAACCACACAAGGGGCCCTTACCCTAAAGCAGTGAAAAACACTTGTGTAGAAGATAAATTTATACTTTGGTTAACTTTCGATCCTGGGTTGGCGTTAATCCAATTTCCCAACAGCCCGGCCCTGATTACAACAAATTAACCTGACATGAGCCTGCGATCCAATCGAAAACAAGTACTTGGTCAGCGGTCAACTTTAAAAAAACACATGTCTTCGATGAGCTATAAACCTGAGCCCGCGATATGGTCACGTAATACTGGTCATCGAATACCTTGTTTTGACAGGTGTCAATTGACGATAATATGGATGTCAAATATCAAAGACGTACGCTGTAAACCAAGACTTGGTATTAGCAGGAGTATGGCCGCCAAGTTGCGCGACGACGTCGTCGTCGTCGTCGCTGGACGCACGCGCCCGCGATCCATGCCGCTAGCCATGTTGACCATGAAAAAAGAGTTGCATGGGTTTTTATGTCTATGCATGCAGGTGGTTCTGTTCCTATAGTTATGGTGCTCCGCTTGGCGACCCTTACAGCCACCGGAGCTCCGCTATTAAATTTGGTGCATGGTGCATGGTTTCCGATATAAGTCACCCAGCTGCAGGCGGCCACACCCGTCTGCTTTTAATTGATTCGACTGGGAGGATGAAGTGCAAGAAAATTTATTCCGGCGTTATCTTCCAAGAAAATCCCTCTCAGCGAGCTCAGGTCATTTACAAATAGCTCCTAGCTAGTTTGGGGATTAATTAACAGGTAGACAGCCCAAGCGACCTTACACTCATTTTCATACTCCACGGGAACATCCACGTAACGCGCGTGGTAACGTTATGCGCGGAAGGGCTGGGTTCCAGTTTCAAAATAACGTGATGGGGCGGATTAGCCTGGGGGATTGACTCGCTTCTCTTGACTCGTCTAATCAACTTCGCCTTTCCGGTGGGCTTCGTTCACTTTGTCGGGTTGAATCAGTTTGTCCGTCTTTGGCATCTTGTGCTCAGGGTTGCTTTCTGTAGCCTTGCTAACGCAGAACAGGAACGGCCAATCTAATTCTCCAACGGCTACAATTTTGAACAATTAAAGAAGCCGCAAAGTCATCTGTAATACTGTACTACCCTGTCGAGTCAACGAGAGCAAAACAATGGTGATCACTTGGTAAATCAGTAGTTAAAATTCTAGCTTACGGTCAGCTAATATAAAGCAAGAATTGTCCAAGAATTGACTGAACCAGCAGTCTTCGGCAAAAATTCGTTGCCAAGTAACATGACGATGGGACAACGCTCAGAGAGTGGTGCTTCTGATTGGTCAATACGTATCGGAAACTACACGGGTAAATTAACGAGAACTTGGCGAGAAACACATCGACAGTGTGACGCGTCGGTCACGTTAAAGAAACTTACGTCACGCAAGGTACATCTTGAAAATTTTAGCCTTCCTTTTTCAACTTTCTTTTCCTTAAAATTCTGCTTATTTCTACCTCATCTTAAACATCCTTGCTCCATTTTTTGTAATTATTTAAATATCAATAAAATGACATTTGTCTTTTCAAGCTCCCTGAACGAACATGCCCACTCACATTGCAGTTTGTAGTTCAAACGACCTCCTTTTACTAGTCTCTCTTCGCTATAAATCAGCCTTGTTATTAAATACGACACTTGATACAATGGAGGGCAAAGTGATCCCCAGTGTCACCCAATGTGAAAATTAATGAATTAGTAACCAAGCCTTGAAACCAATTCAATATGGCGTCCAAATCCCCGAGAATCGAGAACACGTGTAAGGAATAAATAAAACATGTACACTCGGAAAAGCTAACGCGCGGAATCACGACACACAGCTAACGCGCAGAAACACGCTCAAATGATGTTCGAAAGATGAGATGTGTCAACTCGGAATTTGTCCGCCATTGTATTTCAAAGGCTCCGCTTTGTTGAAGTTCTTAGTAACTTCGACAAAAAATAAGAAAATTTAAAGTTTATATTATGAGAGTAGCGACAAATTTCAAATATAAGAACGTTTACAGTACAGCGTTGAACCCGTGCACAGGGTTACCATTCATTCAATAATTTGGCTGACTGTTTAATCGGGAATGGCAAAACTGACAAGTTGAGAAGTTTGTCATTAAAACAAAATGATTGAAAAAATAGAATATACCCACCGAGCGGAATTAAAAAGAAAAACAATTTTCAAATGAAACAGTAGCAAGCACATCTACAAATATGTTCCTTTTGTAACTAAGAAGGCAAGAATATTCAATACAATAATCATTGAAATTTGTAGAGTAACTGCACTATAAAAAGCGACTTATTATACAATGTGCTAACATCAAAGTTTTGGGAGTACCTTTGTCAATACAAAAGAGTATGATCAATCTGATTGATAATTAAGAAAGTGTAACAAATTATAGACCTGAAAAATAATTTGAAGGAGAAAGTGACCTTTGGGAAGTTTTCAAAACTGCTACTTTGCAGAATACCATGAACACTTAACTGCTAAAAATCAACTGTCGTATTTTGGTTCTGAGTATTTTGCATACGCACGTGCAAAATGGAAACGAGTCTTAACTGAGCCTCACCTTATGTAGTTTATGTTTTTTGGCTGTAAATGGTTGCTCCTAAGACCAAATTGCAAACAACAGTCATTTTGAACTATGCAGATAATGAACCAACTCCCTTTCCCGTAACGAACACAGTCTTTTTTGAACCCTTTCACACTTCGAGACAAAAACTATATTTTTCAGTAATAATCGTTCTTCCTCCTTTTCCAGTATGAGAAAACGATGCCTTCTTTTGTTCCTTTTTATGTGTAGGAAATCTTTGGCACAGAACAGTCTTTTTATTATAGAATATCGCTATAGGTTTTAAACAAGGGCAAAACTCAGTCTTACCTTTAACGTTACTGTCAGGTTTTGAGGCACTGGGCGCGGAATTCGTTACTGGAATCGATTCACTTCCGTTAAGCGCCGTTGCGTTACTTTCGCCACAGCCTCCTTTGTCACTGCTTTTCAAATCTCCACCGGTAGAGAAGATTCCCTGGAAACGATAGATTGTGACCGTGAACACAAAATCAACTATAGAAATGCCCAAAAGATATAGAGTAACTCAGTTATGAGGGCGCGAACGAAATAAACCAATCAGGAGAGCGAAAACACGGACATGTAAACAGTGAAAAGCGCGAGAAAAAGTGTCGTCGGATACAAGCGCGGGAAAGCGTGTAACCACTGCAAAGCGCGGGAAAACCTGTAACCAGTGTAAAGCGCGGGAAAACATGTAACCACTGCAAAGCACAGGAAAAAAAGCAACTAGTGACAAGCGTGGGAAAACGTGTAACCAGTGCAAAGCGCGGGAAAACAAGGAACTAATGCCAAGCGCGGAAAAGCAAGCAAAGAGTTGCAAACGCGGGAAAAGCTACACGTCACAAACTCTGGAAATACTTTTTCTCCTTATTCATTAACATCATGAATTAAACTTAAAGTAAAATACGATATATTTCTTTTTCACTTTAGTTCTGAGCCTGCGCATGGTTTTGCTGCTATAACCTGCAAAAATTTGGAAAAGCGCGGCAGAACAGATGCTTACCGTAGGCGCACTTTCCTCGAGTGGCGAGTTCAGTAAACTGCCAGCGGTGTTTCGTCTGGCTGTCTGACGAACAGGTCTGAATTCCCGTGATGGAGAGTACAGAAGTTTACCTGACAAGCGAGCAATAAAGGTCTGTTCGTAATCATGAATTCAAACAATCATCGTGGTCAAGTGACCCACGAGAAAAAGTGCAACAAGAAAGCATCGAAGAAATTTGGGACAACTTGGCCTCGCCGTAGAACGACCATAACGTTATCTTAGCGTGACCAGCATGTAACCCTGGTGTGACACAAGCGTGACCTACATGTAATGCTGTAAGCATGACGCAGGGTAAACTAAGCAAATGTTGGGCCTCTGCATGGTTTCTCAGTAAAACAACTGATCTGTGTAACATATTTTTTGTACTAACTTACTTTTCGGATTCCAAGTTGAATCGACTTTTTCGCTTTTTTTCTTTCTCTGACCAGGCTTCCAGGAATTGGCTTTGTCCTCGTCCGTCATCTCGGCGAGTGGTGGATAAACTACACAACGAAAACACACACAAAAAAATCACACTCGAGGGAATTTCCAATGAGAAAGCGAACGTTTTTTCAACACCCAAGTAATTCTCATGGCCTGTACATGTACGAGCAATGTTAGTAGATA